GTGGCATGTAAAACACGTATGCCTTTAAAAAAATTTGATGGCTGATTGAAGCACAAAGTGACAACCTTGCTCGAGGGCACAGTGTTCGCACTGAATAAAATCCTTCGATTTTCCTGCATTCCGATCGGTTTAAATTTACATTTCTTGGAGTCGGTGATTCGGAGTTCCTGCTTTTCTTTCTGAATTTTTTTATGGAGACCTATCCAACTTTCTGCAGTACTAATGTTTTAAACTTCATTATAAAATCATCATTAAAGATTTTATTCTGGAATAGAACCAATTATTTTATCGATTTAATGTTGCTATTAAATTATAATACGTACAGTACCTGAAGCCCGGTTTGTAAAACAACATGCCGTTACAGTGCACGAGGTATGAAGGATTTTAGATAGTGTACATAGGCTGTCTATTTTGGATGGTAGCAATATTTCAATCCCAAATTTGCCTAAATATCGGGTAAACATATTTTTGCTTACCATGGACAAAATTGCTTTCCTGGTTGTCCACGCCTTGTACCGATGTGGAGAAACAACTGCCACAAAACGATTGACTGCCAGACAAGCATTAGCATAATGAATAATGTTCGTCGTGATCAACAGCAGACCGTTAACGTAGATGCAGTATTTCTCTGGTAGGAACGTCCGGCGCCCGTTATAGTACACCACAAGGATATTCAACGGGCAGTGAACGGTGCACATTGTGAAGTCCAAGAAAGCTGTATGGATAATCAAAATACCCGAGGCTCGTTTATGAGCGTTCACGTGAAACAACACGGTAAAAAATATTAGGAACAGGACACTGCCCAAATATGTTTCGTACAGAGAAAAGGCGAACCAGATTGACAGCTGCGATTTATGGACTATCCATGCCGGCACTGTGCTGCTGTTCCGGCTGATATTGTTCGCGTTATTTACCATTGCGAAGTTGTTGATCGTTGTGTTCAGCATTTCTTCTGTAAGAGAACTTGACCATGATGGCGTTTACAAGTGAAATAGTAAACCAATGCGACAATTAACTGCGCCAATTGGTACTGTATATTTTGGCAAATTAGAAATTAACACGTTCGGTTCTGTCTTTCGGCTGTTTGAATACTCATCGTTGAATTTTAAAGCAAATAGCCTATGCCTGGATATCGAACAACCGGATGTGATCTTCTCACCTGTGACAAAATTAATTTTCACTTGCGGTATGCGTATTCAGGACGAAGGAAAAGGGAGCAACCGCCGCGTTTCGGTGCACATGACGGAAACAAGTGGTCGTCCCTTGGGTTAATGCTGGCGGAAACGCCGTGTGCGGAGTTCTTGTTATTTCGTTCTCGGTTTTTACCTTATGATCGCTCTGCATCGGCACGTGCTCCATGGCATTTATCGCGCCATTAGCGACAATTAACGCAGCTACTGCGCAAGTATAAGCAGAGATTTTGTACAAGTGTCAGCCTTGTCTTAGGTATGCGGTTAAGTGTTGCATGTGGCGATAGCTGCGATACCATTTACGGACCGATTTGTTTGTGTTGGTTTCTGTGTCAGCAACTGCGGTTGAATACCTAAACACAATCACTCGAAGTTTGTGAAAGCGAAACGCTCCTGCGAATTTTCCAGTCGATCAATATACGCGTGCACATTTTCCATCGTATAAGTTCATTATGCGTACAAGTAGGTTTCCTGCGTGCGTTAACTAACTTTGTCCATGTATTATGTATTATCTTCCACGAAATAATACCTTACGTACCATTATTTTACATGCACCCTGTTTAAAGGAAGAAACCAGACGTTCACACTGGCACGTGGCAGTGGAGGGCGACTTGACGAAGTGCCTTATCGAAATAAACACACTGTCTACAAACAGCGGCTAATTTTACAAATAAACACGAAGGTCATGATTTAGGAAGCCGTTGTAGTAAAACCATCCCAACAGAACCAAAAATTCCAAAAAAAGTAGGTGGCACTCGAAATAGGATATCATGAAAAAATGCAATGTGCCTACAGGCCGAAAGTTTATCTTGCTTTCAGTACACGATGCCCCAATCCAACGCCTGTCATTGCGATTCAGTGAAAATCATGAGACTTTATGATAAACTATTGCTACCATTGGACTGACACATTGTCACTCACTTCCTTCATTTCCGAAGAACGGCGAGAATTTTCATGGATAGTCGAAGAAGGAAGTAATCGTTTCTTCTCCAAGAGTTTCTGCGTTAGCAGTCACTTCCGGTTGTCAACTGGCATTGTTCACGACCGAGTACAGAGCCTTCAGTGATTATGCATTCTTTAAAAGTTGCAGTAAAACTGCGGCAAAGAATAATTCGATAAAAATATTTCCCAGCATAGGAATACAAAGGCTGTGCACAGAGCATTATAAACTCACATGGATCTATATTATTTACTGAGTCCATCGGTTTTTGCTTGCGAGAAGGTTTTTGTGGTTCGGGGTGTGAGAGCCCTCCTACTCCGAACTCTTCTGCTTTCCGCGGCACAGGAATCGGCAGTCTGGTTTTCCGTGAAGCACGGCCGTCTCAATAACTTCAGCAACACTTTGCGATATCTCGCATTACATGCTAAAAATATTAACTGAAAGAAAAACAATATGATAGTTTTTTATAGCAGATTCAGTAATGCAACTTTTCGAGACAGTAACAAGCTGCAAAATATGTAGTGACCTTTACCACACATGGGATCTCTTACCGGCGACAACATGTATCCCGATAGGCTAAGATTTCTCACGTACAGCTGCAGAATGGGGTTCTTTTGGTAGGTCGGCATCTGGAAGGACGCCAACACCACCAATGGGTAAAAGCAGACGAGATTCCATAAAGAGAAAGCGAAGAGAACAACGGCAGTATGGCGACGCTCTTGGAGCGTTTTGTCCATAGCATTCCGGGAAGAGTGGTCTTTTTTGGAAAAGTACGCAGAATGCAGAAGAATGACAATATACAGCACCATTTGTACTGCGTTCGGGACATGCGTAGCCAGTGATCTCAGCCAAGGGAAAAAACTGGAATTGTGGGCGTTGGAGCTGGCATGAAATCCGCAACTTCTCCATGGTTGCGAAATGCCAAACGAACCGCCGACTTTAAACAGAAGCGGCATGTTAATTGCCAAACTGAGAACCCATGCTGAAGCAATCTAAAATCAATATTTCATGGCGGATGACATCGTTTGTTATTTATACCAATGTGTTTTATAGAACGTTCACTTTTATGTAAGCAGTTGTTTAATCTTATATTTTTTCAGTTTTTTCAGGGAGACTGATTAGAAAAACTGAACGGACAAATGTAATAGCCGAATAAATAGTTAAGGATCAATGTTAATGTGGAGTTATCGTACGTTGATGATTAACCTGTCTTGAAGTGTCTTCCTTATCCCTTTACGTATAAGAAATCTTTACCATTGCACAAACGACCCATTTGGCTGACCATTTACTATACCGACGCGGAAAAATGATAGCAACAAAGCGATTAATTGCCAAGCATGTATTGCTGTAGAACGTAACCGCGCTGGTGATAATCAGAATAAAATTCACACCGGCGCACTGCTGGGCCGATAGCATACTGTAACGTCCATTCAAATATATGGTTAAAATGTTGACAGGATAATGTACTGCGGCCATCGTAGCATCTGCCCCAATAGTATGCAGGATCAAAATTCCCGAAGCTGTTCGATAGGCGCGTATTTTCATCAGCACCCAAAAGAGTAAGAGAAAGAAGAATGTCCCGAAATACGCTTGCGATAGTGATACGGCACACCATAATTTCAAAGCTCCTTCGTACACAATCCAAGCCGGTACGGTAGTGTTACTTGCGATGCTAGTGACATTGAAAATTATGCTAACATTGCTGTAATTAAACATTTTGTATCAAATATAAGGGAAACTTTAATTGCATATATTTATATAAAATAATGAGCTCCTCACACGATTATATTCAGTGCATTTAAAAGCTTCCGTTAAGGCGCAGTCGAGCGGATATTGCTGTATCCGTCGCGTTAGAAGAGAGGCAGTTCAAACAAGTGCCACTTCTAATGTCAGAAGGTAAGGGCCGCCATTCTTGTGACTAATTTGTGGAAGACCACTGTCGGAAGCAGATGACAGGAACGAATTAATTCAACGAATACCTGCCGGTTATGCGAATTCCCTTGTCACACCAGGCCAAGCACAAAGGATCTTCCCTGAACCTGGGAAACAGGAGATTTCTGATGCCTTCTTTCCCGAAATTGAGACAATTAAAAAAAGGGTAATTAATATCCACTAAACATTGTAACCATATAGTACAAGTTTTACGATTCTCTTAACTCCACAAACTTACAGCACAGAGGTAAGCAACAAATATGAAGAAGACGATACTACATTCTCAACTTCGTTATTCAATTACTGCATGATCTGTTACAATTATTAATATTTTCTAAATTAATGTACCGTATAGCAGGATGTAAATATGCAGCTGTGGTAAAGTAGCTCTATTTGCAAAGTCGAAGGTTGGTTTGGAAAGCGACGTGATTATTTGGAGCACCATGCTTTCAAACTGAAGCAAACTGCAGAGCAGTACTCTGAGTTATTTTTAGTTATTTTGCGTACGCACTTGCTGGTTGTTAGCTAGCCACTCAACGATCGTGTGTTTCATGACTGTTTATCGAATGTAATCAGAAAATATAGTTACAACTTACAATTATGACGTCATCCCGCGATCGTGGGGTGGCTTACTCACCAATGCAGATAGAGAATTTCCGTATAATATTATCGTTTATCCACAACTGAATCTTTATCCGACTAAAATTATAAAAAGGGAATTTAAGCCGATTGCTGCGTCACTTTTGAAAAAAAGCGATAATGACTGTGATCTAGTTATGGCCAAGTTCCAACACGCCGTTCACTACCGATATACACATTCCGCTCAACCCCAAGCGATAACATTCATTAAACGTTTGTGTATCAAAGGTTAAGCCTATCCCGGTATTATGATGTCAGCGATGTATTAGGTTAAAGGAAAACTGATGCAATAGCTGCGTTACTGCGTACAGAATCGAAAGAATCGTTTAACCGGTAATAGTTATATGATCCATCTTTGTGTTTTCATACGGACCTTCAACGTTCTTGAAATTTACTGGATATTGTGTTGCTATAACTTCCATCTTTGTTTAAACTAATCGTACGGTGGCATATTCGAAACATTTAAGGAAAGGCTATGGAGAGAGATGGGAAAGACAACCATCATCTGATAAATTTAGTAATCAACGGACAATGTGTTCTTCGCACAAATTATCGCTTGCTGATGCAAATTGCGCCTGATTACTTTGGATTATTGTTCAGTCAGGAAAGCTATACGGAAAAGGAACCAAAGGACATCAGTCTAATTCTTCCGGTCGATGTGGACGTGAGTACAGCGAAGCGGCTTCTAGAGAATTTGCTCAACAGCGAAGACCCCTTCGATGAGCATAAGACGGGAGTGCCGCTCGCTCAACTGTTGGTAACTGCTAACCACTTCGGCTTGGCGGAAATTGCCGGTAAATGCGCCGAACGTCTTGAGTTGATAGTTAATCGGGATAATTGCTGTTATCTGTGGAAGTTGGCCAACTCCTGTGATCAGCCGAAACTCGGCCGGCGCGCTGCCTCCGAATTATTTCAGTGCGATCTGCACAGTCTCGGTACATCGGAGACTTTTCTGGAATACAGCAGGGATGAATTTTCATGGTTCTTGTCCCATGAAAGTCTGACGGCCCAAAACGAAAAAGATATATTTAGCGTAAGTGCAACGGTATGCTGTGAATGCTTTATTACGTGACATTACTTTTAATGTACTGTACCTAAATGTACTTTTGTTGTTGAATACAAGTATCAGCATTAATGTCGTCATTTTTTTAAGAAGTTTCGCTCAAATTAAGGATTGCTACGCTTATAAGTAACTGATATCAAAGATTAATAAAATAAATGTTTTGCAGCTCATCATTTCGTGGTGCCAGTTCGATAAAGGCTTGCGTTGGAATGTGGACGTGTTCACAACATTATCAAAATTACACTGGGATCAGTTAGTCGAAGATCTTGATAGCCTAACAGGAAAATCGCACGACCCATTATTGCTATCGTCATTATAAAGGGCAGCGGCATCGCAGGGTTTCTTCCTTTCGGCAAATGCGCTTTCACTGAAGTAAGTAACTCCACATTACCGACTTCCGAAGCGTGTCGTTATAATATACGTAACCGATATGCCCACCCAATTGGACCAGAGCGGATCAGACATTCAAACAAACCCAAACGGTGCGCAGCTATACGCATACTATCCGCGCTGGAGGAAACTCCGGAAGGTCGAATGGCCGTGGAATGCGGATGATCTAGCGAACAGTTCGCATCGGATGAGCAAGTATGCTGCATGCACTGGCAGGGAGTTGATCTTTCAGTGGTGGAGTGAACAATGTCCGTGTTGCATCTTCGAGGGGAATCGCATTAAGTGGGAAAACGGTATCAACAGAGTGGTGCCGAATCTTTCCAGTGTTTCTTCGTCGGCGCATCAACGTCTGCCGCCCTGCGGTACGGTGGCGTTGGACCTAGGTACCAAAGCTTTCCGCCGCATTACCACGCTGAATTGTCTAGATTTCGATGCTCAACAGCCGGTATTTATTGACCATTGTGTGTATGGATGCAACAAGCAATGCCAGTTCCTAAAACATGATCTCCGAACTGGCTATGTTCGGGGTCTGCCATATTTTGAGGGGAACCGGTACGTACTGTGCTTGTTGGTCGTTTTGTTTTTCCTCTTGTACGAGTACTAAAGTATTTCCACGCACCTTTCTTAACCGATTTTAATAAACTGAATGAAATTGAATTGCAACAAGTGAAAGATCTCGACTGCATGGGGAACTGTTCATAACAACCGACCACAAAGACATGCTAAGCTAAAAGAGCACCGTCCTAGATTTGAAAAGGTTTAAACAGGCTTTACAATCACAAACAAAACTTAAATGTTCAGTTTAATAACAAGCATTATCGTTTAAAAATTTTTTTTTAAGTTGTGTTGCACTGCACCACCGACTTTTGCAGTGACCTTGTCGCTGGGTGTCTTACGGTGATCGGCAACCAAATTACCCGCATAACTTCCAACCATACAAAAATCAACGTCTTCAGCACACTCACTGAACAGTGGAGTTGCAGCCGCTGTCCCAAGACAATCTTGCCACGCTCGAATCCCGTAGCGGCTCTTTGCGGACCGTTTCTGTACATGTCCGAAAACAGTCCGTGGGGCCTGGCGTACGCAGCACATCCGGCTCCTCTCCAGCGTCTGGATATGCGCTCCGGATTCTGGGAGCGAATGCAGCCGCTTTCGGCACATCAGCGTCGAATTCTGGGGATGTTTTCCTATGGAGATCACCTGCTGACCTTTGGAGATGAGTTGAATGCGGATCGAGAAACCGTCAAGACTGTCCAATGCTATGATGCGCACAACAGCCGTTGGGTGAACGATAGCGTGTGCGATTCGGCTGCTCAGTATGCTCATCCATTTTGTACGACTTGTTGTTTTCACATGGAGCTGTTGGACGTTTTATAAAGTAGAATACTTTTCGCACAAAAATATGGGCACCTTCATAATCGGTGAAATTTACTGTGCGGTTTAAAAAGTATGTGATTACAGAAAAAAAATCTGTGGGACTGGGCATACCATGTTCTTCACAGGTGAGACTGTATAGTGTATAGAAGTGCAGTCTTGCAGTATGTACACCTGATGATCCATCCTCATCTAGTGTCTAGTATACTGTTTTGACTGATTACAGTGGATGACAAAGATATTTTAAAATGGGCCGGTTGGTTCGCAGTCGCACTTCATGAATTTATTTTTGTCATGCAAGGTATTTTGACAACGGTGACGGTTAACCGTTCAACATAGCACTGCAAACGGAAATCGTTTGCATGGAGGGACAATGAAAATGTAAAACCAACCAACCAACAATGAAAATGTAAAACAAACCAATGAAAATGTAAAACCAACGGCATGGAGGGACAATGAAAATGTAAAACCAACCAACCAATGTAAAACCAACGTGGATCCTCATGGGAAGCACATATAGAGGAACTTCCTGTCTTCTCTCCGGTCCGCTTTACTGGATGGAATCTAATTCTAGAGCATGATTAATTAGCTCCAGCGGAAACGCAGTATAGCTGTGCGCAAGAACCGGGCATTATTCTAATAAACGTAATACTCAGTTCGAAGATCTGTTTAAGAAAGGCTTATTAATCACGCAGTTTATCTCGTTAATAAGGGTCACGAGCTTGAGTAGGCAAATGGTTTCGTCGATGCCCCTCCCGGAACCATTAACATTTTATGAACATGGCTGATGGCGCTGCTGTAATTTCTCTAAACCTTTTAATGTCGAATGCGGTTCGTTTTTTAGCCTTGTAAAGCAGTCATGCACTCATTGTTCTAAAGCTTTTCTCCATAACTGGCGTGCAGTGTCAACCGGCACTCCTGGGAACTTTCACGAGAGTGAAAGCGTTCTTGGGATTTTTGTCTTCTCCGGATGAGCAATCAGTTATCTGATTCTCCCCAACGCAAGGACACCTTAACAAAACGAACAACTCTTGACGGTATCTCGCGTTGCAGACGAGAAATATTATCTGTAAATTGTAAAGAAAACAATATAATTATGTTCAACATTTATTAAATAATTGGTAACCTTACCGGCGAAAACATAAATCCTGAAAGGCTGAAATTTCTCACATACAGTTGCAGAATCGGATTATTTTTATACGCCGGAAGTTGAAAAGATGCCAGCACCACCAGTGGATAATAGCAAATCAAATTCCACAGCGAGAAAATGAACAGTACAATCGCCATGTGGCAGCGCTGTTGCAAAGTCTTATCCACTGCACGCGTTCCGAAGATCAGGGTCCCATTTTTTGCTGAGCACGCCGAGTGAATAAGAAGACTAATGTACAGTATCAACTGCATGGCATTCGGAACGTGCGCCGCCAGTGACCTTAGCCAGGGAAAAAAGCTGGAATTCAGAATGTTTGGACTGGCATGGAAGCCACAGCTTTTCCAGGGTTGTGATATGCCGAAGGAACCACCGACGTTAAACAGAAGGGGTGTGTTCACGGCCAGACTCATAGTCCATGCCGAAGCAATCTAAAATTGATTCGTCTAACATTTATACTAGCAAATATCGATTGTTTATGCTTTATGCAGGCTTAATTTTTAAAACCGTTTGAAAACTTCTAAGATCATGCGACAAAGGTTTTATTACTAAATAACAAATTGCAAAAATATTTGAAGTTACAAATTCAAAACAGTCAAATTTGGAGCTTTGTAATAGTAGACAGAGCTATCCAAAAACTAACGCAGGAAAAACCGAATTTGTTTGCTGACGCACCATTGCAGTAATTACCGTTTTCGTTGACCATTTCTTATAAAATAGACCTGGCTGGCTGGCGGGCTAAATTTAGCTCTGTCAAGCCAGCGTTAGTTTTTTTCGTTTATGTTCCTATAACTAGAACAACGGTTAAGTATTTTTGTAACAAAATGTTCAATTTTTTTTCCTGCGTCTTGTGAGTGTATGGTTAGTACAATCGAGAGTGTGTCCGCGATATGGGGAACAAGAAACAGTGTAGGCTTTCGACCGTTGTATACCATCATCTGAATATCCAGGGGCTGTCCTATGCTAAAGTCGATCGTCTCCATCAGTTGTTATCGAATCAGGATAATCACTCTAAGATATTATGTCTGTCAGAAACCCATTTAACTGCGAACGATCCGGATCAGCTATACTCACTCGCTGACTATCAGTTGTTTCGTAAGGACCGCACGAAAGCATCGGGTAAATTACGTGGTGGTGGTCTTCTACTTTATATTCCTGCCCATATCCCCTGTCAAGAAGTTCGACGATCGGAAACTTGTGGCCAATGCGAAAGTCTGTGGGTTCTGCTTCAGATTGGGCCACGTAAAGTGCTCCTTGGACTTTTGTATAGAGCCCCTGATGCCAACGCACTGGATACCGAATTTTTGTTTAACCATGCAGACGAAATACTCCTGAAATACCCGGGCATTGATCATGTTGTGTGCGGCGATATTAACATCGATGTTTCAGTGGCATCATCTCCTTTTTTTCGACATTATCATGACTTAATCAATAACCATATGTTGGAAGATAAGGTTTCGGGATTTACCAGGGTAGCTTGTCGAACACGAAAGCGAGATGGAGCGTTAATGCACAGCAGTAAAAAGATCGACGTGTTGTTATGCTCACCAGCGGACAGCTATTCGTGCCTTCCTGCTGAGGATGTGTGTTTTTCGGATCACCGCCTGTGCAGGACAATTGCGTCTTACAAATCCCTCTCCCCAATACACAAAACAATCACGTTTCGCCTATGGAAGCATACGCCTATGGAAGCATTTTATCAGAGAGTTGAAGCAGTATGTGAAAAGTACAGTGTACACAATGAGACTGTTCCGATCGACGAATGTGTAACAAATTACGTCCGAGAGTTGAACCAGATCGTAGACGAGAGTTTCCCTTTACGGTCCCGAAGAGTACGCCAGAACGATCCCCCCTGGATGAGTCTATCACTGAAAAACCTGATTAAAGAAAAGAACAAGTGCTACCGCCGCAGATGTCAACTACGTGGTACACCAGAATACATGCAGTGTGACGCGGAATTCCACCATTTGAAAAAGCAAGTATACAGTAAGATTTTGGACGAAAAGCGCAAATTCTTCAAGAACAATCAAGATAGAGCAGAAATTGTTTGGCGCGAGCTTGGAAAGCTACTTCGGAAAAGAAAGCAGAACGACGAACCGACGTTGGATCCAAACGTGCTCAACTCACATTTTGCAGCACAAGGATTGCACGGGAACGAACACGCTGTCCCAGCCGCCCCCTCGGGGGGTGGCAGTACTAACCCCTTGCTTTGCAGGTTTGAAGACGTTACCGAGGATACCGTATCGTTTCTGATACAGCAGATGGCCAAAAAGAAAAAGAGCGCGGGGCCGTGTGGTATACCAGTCAAAATCCTCGGCGGGATGAACGGATACATGGCGAAACCACTGATGATTATGATCAACGCATGTCTCAAAGCAGGAGTATATCCCACAATTTTCAAAAGCGCCGACATAACCGCGATACCGAAGCAACATAATGCGCAACATCCGGATGATTTTCGACCTATTTCGTTACTTTGCAACATCTCCAAAATTTTTGAAAAAGTCATTCAGAACCAACTCGTAGCAACCCTGAAAGCAAACAACATCCTTTCAGATAAACAGTCCGGATTCAGAGAAGGCCACTCGTGCGAAACGTTGCTGCTGAAGATGTCGGAAAAATGGCGAACGACAATGGATGCCGGTAAAGTGACAGCCGTATGTTTTTTGGACCTGAAAAAAGCCTTTGATTCTGTATCCCACGCAAAATTGCTTGAAAAACTACAGACCATTGGAGTTGAGGGAAGTGCGCTGCTATTGTTTCACGATTACTTAACATCTCGTAAGCAGGGAGTGAAAGTGACAGCGAAGGTGTCTGACTGGCTCCCAGTGCGGTCAGGAGTGCCACAAGGAACGCGAATGGGGCCAATTTTCTTTACGGTGTATATTAATGATTTTCCAAATGGGATTAATGCGGAATGTTTTGCGGATGATACGATACTGTACGGTATTGGCAGCACGAAAGTGGAAGCTGCAGCGGAATTGGCCATCCAGGTCAAAAATGCAACGGCTTGGCTTGCACAGAACACTCTTTGCATCAACGAAAAAAAGTGCAAATTCATGTACATCTGTACTGAATCAAAGAACAGCCAAACTTCCCCAGTGCTTACGATCAATGGCCACCAAATGGATGAAGAAAAGTGCGTGAAGTATCTTGGTGTCTACATCGATCGCAACCTAAAGTGGAGCAATCACTTTGATCACATACTGCGGAAAGTCAACTACGGTATCGCAATGATAAACCGCGCGAAAGACGGCCTGGACATGCCTCAGCGTAGGAGCCTTTACCATGCCTGTGTGCAGCCACATCTTGACTACGCGTCGGATACGTGGTCTCCGGCATCTTCGGCTTTACGTGGCAAACTGGACAGGGCACAGCGGAAAGCACTGCGGGCGATTTCTGATTACAAGGAGCGGGTTACACCCGAGCTGTATCAGAAACTGCGCATCCTGCCGGTGTACGACCGTTGGAAGCAGTCTGAAGCGGTGTGGCTGTACAAGATCTACAACCACGAAGCGTACCATCCACCGTCGTATATGGTCGAGATGATTAATTTCACGGATATGGGAGCGCGTTACAACCTACGGAATCCGACGAGAATTGCCGCAAGAGCGAAAATGAAGATCGGAGAAGGCACGCTGGCCATGCGGCTGAAGGACATCTTTGAGCGCATTAAGAAAGTCAACATGCAGATACTTAGTGTTGATGGCATCGGTTTTTTCAAATTTGCTCTCCGAACTGTAGATCTGTTTTGAAGTTATGCACTGTTGAAGTCTTTTTTTTAGCGACCAGACGTTGAAGTCCTGCTAAGCGGGTTGTCTGCTCTTGGTGGAATAATAATAATAATAATAATAATAATAATAATAATAATAATAATAATAATAATAATAATAATAATAATAATAATAATAATAATAATAATAATAATAATAATAATGATGAGGAAAAACAATGGCGACAAACCGATTAATAGCCAAACAAGTGTTGCTGTAATACGCCACAGCGCTCGTGATAATCATGAAAAAGTTGACACCGGCACACTGTTGCGGGGAAAGTATGTTATAGCGGCCATTGAGATAGATCGTCAAGATATTCACCGGGAAATGAATGGCGGCCATCGTGGCATCGACACCAAGCGTATGGATTATCAAAACTCCCGAGGCCTTCCTGTATTCGCGTAATTTGACCAAGACACAAAAGAGCAGAAAGAAGAGAAAGGTGCCAACGTAGGCTTGCGACATGGATACCACAAACCATATTTGCAGTGCTTTTTCATAAAATATCCACGCTGGTATGGTGCTGCTGACAGTAACGTTAAAAGTTGGTGAAGTCCAAATTTTGTTAGTAGCATTTAACATTTCCAGTGTCTACTAAAAATTAAACAGTTTAGCAGCCTGGAGCTACCGGAATGATTTGCAGACCGATTCGCAGTTTGCTTCCAGTACTACGCATTGGGATTAATAAGAAAATCCCTATTCCGTATAAGTAATTTGCGTGATTACGCTACCGGATACTGCGCGTAGGGGAAGCCTTACAAATTGACAGGTGCCTTAGTTGTATACGCTTTAGCGACGTACCTATCTGCAAAGGATTCTCAAAGGCAGTGCGTGGAACGCCAGTTATCAGGTTAATTAAGATTATTAACGGAAGCCAAGGAAAACCACTCCCAGAAAGGCCATCGGTGTAGAACGGGTTTCCTTGCTGTAGACTTTAAATAGAGAGCGCAAACGGCCATGTGAGTTGCACGGTTGCTGCGATTATCAATATTCTTACAACAGCGATTAATTATGAAAGAACTAATACACTATCACACTGTAAGGTTGGTGGCGAAGATCTTTTGCTGAACGTGCACGGTACATATGCGTGCTGTCGTTACGGGTACAAAAATTTATACGTATGCGGTTAGGCTGGCGTTACGCAAAGCAGTCGTGATGTCGGATAAACGTATTCGGTGGAAGGTTACGCTCTACAATTATATCGCTTTATGTAAAGAATTTATATGACTGCATTATACAGATGCTCGCGTATACTTACGTACAGAGCACATAGGGGCAGAGAGGGATGTTACAACAGCAACAACTTTAAGGACTGTTATGCCGATTTGGATAATAATATTGTGATTGTCTTGTACGTATAACTTGGATCTCTGATGTGCGGAGACAGCCATTGTGCAATTCATTTGTGGAACATTCGGTTTGCAGATATTTAGGATCTTGTTTGGACCAATGCGAAAGAATTCAAACCAATTTTTTATTCAAACTGTATTCACACCATCATTCCACAAGATATCATTTTAAGAAACTTAAATGGGATTTGCCCGTCTTTGACTGCGGTGCATGTTACATATAAATCACAACTGTATGAAGCAAACCCAAACGACGCGCACTCTGCAAGGTATTTCAGCCATAGCAGCTGCATTAAATACATTATAACATATGCAAAAAAGATCTTCCAAAGCATCTTCCTAACTGAAGCATCTGTACTAGCACGATCCCACCACCATTTCCGCCTTCTAGCCCAGAATGCTGACGGCGGCACAGGCGTTGCAGACGGAGACCGGAGGGCAGACATTGGCGTTGATGGGAATCTGAAAGCCGGCGCCGTTCAGCAGGTTCACGGGAATACCGCTGAAGAGAGATCCTCCGCCCAGATTGCCTGCTTGCTGTAGCACTTGGGTGTTGGTGTTGCCATTATTCTGGCATTGCGCCTGACCTGTAATACGAACCATGTTAGAGGCTGGTGCGGTTAAAACGCCATAAAAATTAGTAGAAAGCTTACCACACAGCGCCTTCTGTTCGGCGGTGCAGGTAGCACCCGCACCCGTTGGCGGAGCAGCAACCGGCAGAGTCGGAGCAGGAACTGGCAGACTGGGAGCCGGCGCAGGGACGCTCGGGGATGGAACAGGAATACTGGGAGTAGGGGCGCTCGGAACCGGAATGCCGGGAGCCGGGACAGGAACGGCAGGCGCCGGCACATTGGGGAGCGGGGCGCTTGGTGCCGGTACGCTGGGGACCGAAGCCGGAACGCCCGCAACCGGTGCAGGTGCTTGACGAGCGAAGCGCAGCGCGTTGGTGCTGGCGCAGGCGACGATCAAAAGAAGGGCAACAGTCTGCATTTCGACAAGAGTAGCCGGTAAAAGTGGTCGACTGTTAATAACTCAACTTTGGAGGTGTTTTGGATATTTTGAAAGTTTTTATGATGCAAAGATAGTGCTTTGCTAGCTTATATACGGCCAGACGAAATTGCAAAATTTTGCCCCTTGAACTTGGAAATCATTATTTTGCGGACTCAACATAATGGGTGAGTCAGTGATTTGAACTTATCTCACCAGCAAACAGTAGTCGCCACAATGGTTTTTCGCACAAACGTTTGCTGTTTGTGCAGCGGACACATTGTTCACAGGCGTGCGCTGCCGAAAAATGTTATGAAGACGTAGTTTTACGGCAACAACGTGAGCTGAGCTACAAAACAACCAAAGTCTTAGAACTGTTGCCCGTATTGATTGTTTAGAGCTATTGGACTTGTTGTTGTTGAAACACCACAATATATCGATTAATGAATGACTCATTAGCTTTTGCTGCATTTATCTATTTGTCGGCCACGTGCAAAGAAAAACGTTTGTAGCGCTTGTGTGACTATCAAGTACAGTACAAATGTACGTACAATTAATCGCAACTGCTGTTGCCCGGCGCCGCTGGCTTTTTGTCTCGCATGATGTAAAGCTGGTTAAAACAGCAGTGTTCGCGATTGTCTACAATGACACCCGCTGTGCCAAATAAACTTAGCGGTGGTCAAAATGACGACAGGCCAAGGCTCCAAGCTTCAGTCAGAATCGTAATGCTTTCATGCATATATACAGTATACTTATTCCTTACAAATACTCATTCCCTCTTGGAATTCTAGAGTTGGGAAGGAATACATACAGGAAGCCTGATACATGGAGTCAAGGAACACTGATTTTGCTGAAACGTGCGCTTGCTTGTTCTGCGGCGCACAAGAGCATGTGCACAGTAAAGCATATAATAGTGATTCTAGTCAGTAAGACTAAGCACATAATAGTGATTCTAGTGTAAATAATTACGATCGTATATACGTATCTGCAGTACTTTTACTGAATGCATGTAACGATGGTCGTCGCGTATTGCATCCATAAAAGCGTTCCGTAAACTTCAGCTTTCCAACTTTCATACGAGTACCGTCAATAATTCATTTTGACAACTTTTATTTTCAGTATGATTACTTGGGAGCTTTGTGCAGTTATAATACATTGCAAGAACTGGGAAATACATGGATAACCATAAAATCACCCTACTGCTACGCTTTATGTAGCGAAGAACAACGAAATCAACATCAGCTATGAAGAAAGCGATCCCAATTCGTGCGCCAGGAAACAGTAGCCAAGAACAGCTGCGCATTACCATGCCAAATCTCTACACTCGAACGCTGAAACAAGGTGGCGTAAAGAGTTTTTCAGTGTTTAGGTTCAGCAGTTTTCGCCCTGATGGTTCAGAACGTTAAGCGGATGTCGATTTACGGCTGTGGGACGTCTCACTGTTGAGCCGGTTGGCCTTGGCTTGCTGGACGGATATTGCGCTGGCTGAATCAGGCCGCAATAATGCGAACTCGGCCACTTTTCTCTGCTGGCAGCAAAACTCAAGTGCACATGGATTGTTTCTGTTAGAACCGGCTTGTAAAACAGCATAGAAAAATGTACTGTACTGCTGTGCCGTATTACGAAGTTACTGTATGTCCACTTCGTGGTGCAAAATCCATTGTTCATTGTCTTCCTGTCGTTGCCGACAGTTTCTCTGCTACTGTATATGTATTAAATTACTTACACAATCGTAGCAGCGACAGTGTCGGTAACGACAGAGAGACAACAAACACTGAATTTTATTCAACACAATGTACGATACATAAAATTCTCAATTGAAATCTGCTTTAGCTATGCAGAGCCGGCTGCGTTGGCGGACATTTTGTAAATTACGATTTCTCAAGTTATACTTAATTTTTAATATGTTTACTGATGTAGTATTTGAAAAGGCATCAGTTGATTTCTGGGGTTAGCTCTTGTGCCTGCTCTCATTGCCGCCGGATGGATTCACAAAATTTTTGGTTATTTGATGCGGAATATACTGTTGCAGGAGCCAGGAGGAGCTGGATTGTGCCCGTATTATTAAACCAGTCAGACACTTTTGCAGAGTATCTGCAACCGCTTACTATCATAATTATAACAATCAAAAGAATCGACGACTGTAAAGGGCTATTACCTGCCCTCTGCATGAGAACAGCTAGAAACGTCTTCTTGGTATCTCTCCCCTCCCGCTAAAAACTCATTTACTCTTATGACAGCTACTTACAATGTTGCTACAGTGATTGCACCGATACGAGTACAAAGGAAAGTATTCAAAATTTCTATTTGTTGGCTTTATTGTGTAAAAGGCATCTCAGATGACATTCTGAAGAGATTAAGACATCTGAATTCGGTTAACAAACTTATCATTCAAATAAAAGAAAACGATGTGTAAGCGTCTACCAGCAGATTTCGGTAGATAAGTAGTTAAATTCTCTGCAGTTGCGTGCGAGTATTATGTCAAGTGCAAACAACTTTCGAACCCTCCAGATTCTAGCTGGACCGAGCCTTCTCGACATATTTAGCCGAGGATGTTGACGGCAGCACAGGCATTGCAGATGGAGACCGGCGGACAGACGTTGGCGTTGATGGGAATCTGAAAACCGGCACCGTGCAACAGGTTCACGGGAATACCGCTGAAGAGAGATCCTCCGCCCAGGTTGCCTGCCTGCTGCAACACTTGGGTGCTGGCGTTTCCGTTATTCTGGCACTGCGCTTGACCTTTCATACGAACCAAGTTAGACGCCGGTTTGGTTAAAATGTCACTGAGTAGAAGCTTACCGCACTGCGCCTTCTGTTCGGCGGTACAGGTAGCCCCGGCACCCGTTGGCGGAGCAGCAACCGGCAGAGTTGGAGCAGGTGCTGGCAGACTGGGAGCCGGCACAGGCACACTCGGGGACGGAACAGGAACACTGGGAGTAGGGGCGCTCGGAGCCGGAATGGCGGGAGCCGGGACAGGAACTGCAGGCGCCGGCGCATTAGGAAGCGGGGCGCTTGGTGCCGGTACGCTGGGGACCGGAGCAGGAACGCTCGCAACCGGTGCAGCTGCTTGACGAGCGAAGCGGAGCGCGTTGGTGCTGGCGCAGGCGACGATCAGAAGGAATGCAATGGTCTGCATTTTGGAAAGAGTAACTCGTAAAAGTGATCGACGATTATCAGCTAAAGTTGAAGGTTTTTTTGGGTATTTTAGAAGTTTTTATGAGGTGCAGATAGCGCTTTGCTAGCTTATATATGGCCAGACAAAACTGCAAAATTTTGTCTCTTGAACTTAGAAATCATTGTTTTGCGGCCTCAACATAATGGATGAGTAAGTGATTTGAACTGATCTCGTCAGCAAACAGTAGTCGCCACAATGGTTTTTCGCACAAACGTTGGTTATTTGTGCAGCGGACATATTGTCCACAGACGCGTGTTGCCGAAAAATGTTGTGAAATAGTTTTACATCAACATCGTGAGCTGAGCTGCAAAACAACCAAGGTCTTAGAACTGTTGCATTTTGGAGAGTATTGACTGTCGACGTTGAAACACGAGAATACATCGATGAATGAATGAGTCATTAGCTTTTGCTTTGTTATTTTGCCATTTTTGTGAGCCACGTGTAGAGGAAAACGTTTATGTCTGGCTACGGCACAATTAAACGCGCCTATTGAGGCAAAGCCGCAGGCTGTTGTCGTGCATAATGACATTGCATATTGTGTGTACCGTATTGTGCATGCTGTTTTATCGAACTATGTACATACATGCAACGCACGCTGCTTCCTTAAACTAACGTAGACGTTCTATACGCGTACCAACGAGAATTTTTGGGGAATTGAAACACCCAGAATCAAGTAATGAGTCACGCAACGTGGCGATAACCACAGAACTTATAATCAGACAAGGCATCATCCTTGCGCGTGTCAGCTTGTATATACTAAAAAAATAAGTGATAATCATGCCCGACAAAAAAATTAACTTGCAAAGAAATGCTCACCTGTACAGGGAATCAAAAATACGGATACCGCCATTCACTACACAATGCATAATTATTGTGTACCGGTAGTATCCCTGAATCGTGTACTCGTAGGTACAGGCATCCCTAACAGACTCAGTGCGCAGACTTTTAGATTCGTAGCAATCATAGCGGTAATAACTGATTTTGTTAGCTTTATTTAGGATTGCTTAAGATGTTTGTACAGATAATTAAAAAAATAGACGACAGGAACAGACAAATAAGGAGAACTATACAGTTAGAAAACCGCTCCCGCTTTACGCTCTTGTTCGCACTACCAATATTACAGGACTGGCTGATGTACTATTTTGCCTGCATTATCCATAACTTACCGTAGAAGCGTGCACTATTTAAACAAGGTTATTTTTAATTATCTGAATTATAGCATATAACGGTTTAGTATATATAAGCAAGTAAACAGTGGCGCACGGAGCTGATCCTACTTAACACTTGATAAAAGCGTCGTAGTTCTGTAGTACACAAAATCGGCAATAAACGATTCAAAGAACGTGAGCGTCAATTGTGGAATTTTACCACTTGGACCGATATGTATCGAGCACAAGTGTTTACACAAACACTCCTCATGACACATCCTGTAGCCGAAGAGGAACGGAAATGAGTTTTTCTACCCCACTGTCGCCGGGTTATAAACCTTTGTCGAAGATCAAATAACACGGATCTGGAAAGCCAGTAAACTACAGACTGAACCGCTATTTTAATGTTTAAGTACCGTTTTCAGAAGGATAAAGTTGCGTCTCAAACGTTTTTCCTCCTGCGGGAAATTTTTTCATCTTGTTGAATACTCATTTAAATAGCGTAATGAATTTCGTTCAAGTCACGCGTGACTTCCAAGAAAATATTGTGGTACAGGATAATGATGATTCATAGTTGGATTACCGTCGTTAATGAAACTGCTAGTTACAACGCCTCATTTTTCGTTCACAGTGCAATTTGGACATGGAACGCTTATTTCCTCACGTTTCTTTTTACCGTTACGTTTTTCTTAAACATTTTTATTGCCAGCATTTTCACTTTTCACCCGGAACTGCGCTCACCTTTTTCCGTATACGTTATCTGCCTTTTATTATCCAACGCGATTTATTGCGTAACCGACGACTGGCTCGTCATCGTCGAGCATCTATACATCCACTTTCCGCTGGGTTTCGCCATGTGCACTTTTCGCAATTACACCGGGTGGGTGTTCTCCGGGATTCCCATGCATATGCACGTGTTAATCACCGTCAACCGAATCTGGGCGGTGTGTTTTCCGCATTCGTACCGCACTCGACATTCGACGGTTACCGCTATCTGCTTAGTGATCGCCGCAGCTTTTTATGTTCACATAATCTGTCTACCCGGTGTGATTTTGGACGCACTGTACTATCGTGTTCCGGCTGAAACCAGCGGCTGCAATGTCGACACCACGATGACCGGACAGAAAGTCTGGGAGCAGCTGACGATGATTCTAATTTACGATGTGCCGGTGGTATTCATGATATCTGCCTACGCTGTTCTCTGTTTTAAAGAGTTCCATCGCCGGGAAGCCGTTGCCGGTTTAGTCTACAGTGTGGTAACGTTGGGGACGTTAGGGATCAAAATAAAGAAGAAGAAGGCGAAACGCACAGGGTTCCTGGTGTTAACGGCGTTGACCATCAGCGTAGCGGTGTGCTGGACGCCGTATGAAATGTATTTTACCGTGGGGACGTTTATGGATATCGATGTGCCGATGATGCGAGAAGTGGGATTTACGTTGAATTCCCTGCAGCCGCTACTAGATCCGATTTTATTCGTGATTACTATGTCAGACTTAAGAAAAACGTTATTGCATTGTTTGCATTTTGCACAAGTCCACTAATCAACGCAGGCTACACAGCTATTCTCAGTGTTCTGTTGTATCGGTACTTTGATTGTACAAAGTACTGTAGGAGGATTGTGGACAAAAAGAATTCTATATGGCATTTTTTACACTGATATACACCAACTATTGACGAAACCGGTGGATTTTGTGTATAACTACGTCAACTTCAAAAATACCGAAGGATATTCGAAAATTATTTTGCAGGAAAATTAATAATGATAACTGCATATAGATATTATATAACATAAAACGTACAGTACAGATACAATGGTTTATTAAGCCATCCATGTAGAAACTGTTGCAACTTATAGCAGCTGTTGTAAATACTCTGTAAGTACCTATTCATAATGTGTGCTTGTACCTAACTTAAACCACGTAATAAGAATATTATTGCGCATTTTATCTTTATCAGTTAAGCAATAAATTGTCTAGGGTAGGCGTTTATTGCTAACAGATACCGTAATATCTATATTACAGTACACCGCACCACGGTTATTGCTTTGGGTTTTTGCTGTAATTTTACTTCATTACGGTAAGACTTCCATTCACAACAATTCCCATTAACCTCCGGCAAGTGGCAGTGAAGGTGCGAAGCAGACCTCCCACGAGCAGGCAACGAATTTCTTAGTTCAGTTCAGTTTTGTTTTTCATACTGTTTATTCATTCAATGCTGACGACTGTCGGTACTGTAGAAAACGCTTCCCACCCGGCGTTCGTTCAAGAGATTCTTGTGCACTTCCATTATTTTCTCAACCCAACCGCAGACAGTATCTGCCTGCGTAATACCTTAGTAGTATACACAACCAATAGTGGGTCCATGATACCTTGAACACTGTATAATACAGAAAGCAATGAATCCATTGTAAAATTATACCGACCGTCAAACGCGGCTAAAACGTAGTAAATATTGTAAGGCGTCCAGCAGATAGTTACACTAACGTTCAACAACACGAGCATCTGAAAACCGGCATGACGCTGGCGATTGTGGAGACCTCTCTGCTTCTTAACAATGATCAGCGCTGAAGTCACCATAAATACCAAAGGCAGGAGGTACATCAGGATCAAGGCAGCAACAACCCAGCTGGATAGCTGTAAATAATTCATGTCGCATTCGTTTGGTGCAGCAGGGTCTGTTCGATAGATAAGCACATTCAAAATAACCAACGGGAGGACACAAGCGTGGACATAGCAAATCCCCGTCGCCACCATTATCCACGCGGTTGTCTTGGTGCAGTTCCGGTACGAGACTGGGAAAAGCAGCGCCCAGAGGCGGTTAACGGCGATCACGGTGTGAATGGCAATGGGAAATGCGGCGACAACCCAGTTCGAGTACTGTTTCATGGCACACGTATAGTAATTAGTGGGAAAGATGGCAGGGAAGTAATCGAGGAGAACGGCCATGTAGCTGGTTATGCTGTACAGTGCATTGGACGTCATTAAAACGAAAATACAGAGAGCAAATGGTGATGGAAGACGGGTGAAGCCCATTAACACAGCGACCGTTGTGTTGCCGAGGAATGCTGTAATTGTGATGCAGGTTATCACGGCAAAGGAACTGGTGAAGACTCCTTCGTGGCCGGTGGTAGAATTTGTAGAGTTCATGGTGGAAAGTAAAATTTGAAAATATCAAACGAAAAGAGAATAATCGTATATCACATGCGGGAAAAATATATTAACATTGACGCTGGTTAGTGCAAAATCTGATACTGTAAAAATACTCGTGAGATCCAAAGGTAGCGTTTAACGAAGAATGCATCTCATGGGAGCTAACCGTGACTCTGCAGCTGTTTCCATAAGGTTAGCAGTTTCTTGATGCGCTTAGCATGGACTTCCGGTTCCGCGAACCGTAACCGAACTGTGGTTGTGGGTGGAGCTACTGCATGTAGTTACTTGCTACTTTATTCAGAAGAAGTTGTATCGCATCTTCGTTTAAGGTGCGAGACGCCCTTAATCTTAGGATACTGCTTGCTCTAATTGTACGCATACAGCATACAGTGCAATTATTCTCAGTATTTTATTTATTTCGCACGTCAAGCACTTTGATTAATTGGCGAATTAGGCAGGAAATACAGAGCAACAAGCAGCAAGGAAAACGACCACAGCACAGCTGATAATTACGGTAACGGGACCGCATGAAAGCGATTAAGGAAGCGATGCATTTCGGCAAAATATCTTCAGCATGTCTGCAGTTAAGAAATTCTTGGAATCACTGGCGGCATCTGAACGCTCGTTGGATGAAGCTCTCTCATACATTTCCGAGAAAACCAGCGTGTAACTGATGACACCTCCAACAACCTGCGACAAATTCATACCTGATCACCACTTGCATACTTCTAATGTTATCAGAGAATTATAGAAATTATACGCTGTATTAATTAATAATAGAATATTTAGGTAGTATCTACGAGTACTTGCATTATAATACAATTGTGATACCATGCAAACTAGTATGAGTTTACAACAGCAGAAGTGTACAAACCGTAATTGCAAACTCGCGGTTCACCACCACTTTCGCCAGCGTTATACCGGCTTTTTTGGCCGACACCCGTTTATGGTGCGCATCCATCATCATCATATCGTTTTCCTTCAGCACATTCTCAGTTAATAATTTTGCCATGTAATCTTGGATGCCGGCTTCCTGTAAATCCATTCAAGCACCGTTATGTAAAACGCTATTGCAGAATGAATTTTCATTGCTTAACTCTGTCAGAAATTTACCGCTTCCGTTGCAAGTACAAGATTAACAGTGTTGACCACCATAGTTATGGTGACGGCAACCAGAGATGCCATTGCCGGCCACGGCACGGGGCCTCCGTTCAGATACAGCTTACAGCATTGATTAATCCCAAAAAGAATGCGTGATAACCGCTCCAGATATGCCAACATGGAGATCAGATTTATGCAGCGATCGTACGTCAACACTATATCGCACAGGGCATCGTGCGCGGTCATAATATTTTGAAGATCCATTTTAGCACTGTGATCTTGTTTGATACATTTGCGTAAATACAAGCGAATTTGTCGGAACGCTGCGCCAAACGCATACGGCATCGTTGTAACAAAACAATGCAACATTTGTTTACCGAGTACCGCCACATGCGCCACAGTATCCACCACGTAGACAAACACTACAGTAAATCCCGGAAAAAGGTTCCACTCGGGATGATGGAAGAGTATGCTTGCGTGGCGCTCGGCATTCTCATGGAAGATGGGATAGAAATTTATAACGCCATGTAAACCGGGATGGATCAATAGTGTCAACACGATTAACGTGATGAGTGTAGCCAGATCCGTATACGACAGATAAATCAACTGGTTCTGGATGAATGTGAATATCCGGTCTATTTTCTTGGAATTCCTCCATAGTTCGATAGCGTAAATGGCGTATATTACCGGGAAGAAATATGTCTGCAGATTGAGCAAGATATCCGAGATGCGTTCGACAGATTCCGTGTTCTGATTGTACAGACCGCCGTCTGTGGCAATGGCTGTGGCGATGACTTGCAAAATCATATAGAAACCGATAAAGACATTCAGGGTTTTCTTTTTAAATGATAGACGTCCGCCAGGAGTGGCATAACACAAGTGGAAGCCAAAAAGGCTTATAAATCCTTTCCAAAAATTGCATACAAACTTTAGCATTTGACCTTTGTAGTTCACTGCCATGACCATAATTTACGGTTGTGACAGTTGTAGTAGTACCGTAAGTTCATGGAAATTTGCACATCGAATCGTAGACAATATATTGATTCTACGCGCCGCTACCGACGTTTCAAATTTAACCGATGTTTGAATGTTTCGGCAGTTTGCCGGCACCGTTAGAAGTATAGACAAAACATAAAATCTCCGGTTACGCTGCTCACTTTGTACTTGTAGCAGGTGCAGGTTTGTGGCAAATGCTGATAAACTTTGCCAATCGATCCCTGAGAACGTTACCGAAGTAACAGGTCAGAGCAATTTGACCTGTACTAACCTTTTGCCTAGTCATAATCGCTGTAAAAATACAGTGCAAAATGACACATTAGCTTTCCGTTAGATTAATTTGGCTGCTTGTCTGTTTTTTTTGGAAAACCATTTCTTCAACGTTAGCCGCACTTCTTTCATACTGCAGATGACGAGAAGCGGGTCGAAAATTCCCTGTACATTGTACAGCATAGCGAACACAATATCCAGCAGCGCATTATAATCGCCGTCAAACATTTCCAATATGTAATAAATTCCATAGGGAATCCAGCAAACCCAGACGCTCACGGTTAACGCCAGTAAGACGCGAAATCCTGTGCGGTGTCTCTTCTCAAACTGCCGCTGCCGTATCCATAATAACAAAGCCGAGACGGCCATAAAAATCACAGGAAAAGCGTAACCGGTTAACATAGCAAAGATTATCACGGTGGAGAAGACGTATTTCCTATCGGTGCAACCGGTAACAATTGGATTGAAGAGAACGTCCTGAATAACTACAGGAAGACAGGTCAAATGTACGTATGCTAATGTAGCCAGTACGAGCCACAATGCGGTCCATTTCGTGCAACGGCGATACGATAGCGGGAAGTACATTGCCCAGATGCGATTGGTCGATAATAAGACGTGCAGATTCATGGGAATACCGGCAATGACCCAGTTAACATATTCAAAAAAGGCGCAGGAATATTTTTCGGGAAGAATAATATTTCCAAAATGATCAGAAAGCACTATTAGGTAACTGGTGAAGCAATAAAGAATGTTGGACGCCAGCAACACGGTGAGGCAGATAGCGAACGTCGAATGAAGGAATTTATTATGAATAAACACCATCATAACAAGAAGGTTGCCGGCTAGCGCCAGAAAGCCGATGAAAGTTGCCGCCACAAAGGTTACGGTTTCGGTATCATTCAGGGTGGCATTGGTGGCATTCATTTTTTACATTTATCTGGATCTGTGAAACTGCTGGAAAATACACAATTCTTGTTACGGGATTAAACTGTTAGTACAGTGCATAAACAGTTATAGAAAGGCAACCTGCCATTTTTTTTCCACTTGAACCATGATATATTGTCGCGAACGTGTGCATGGTTCCATTACATCAGCCACTTGATCAGTGCATACTGCATATTGATATCTGAAAACACTACATACTTAAAATGTCCATAAGAGGATACGGTACGAAAAACACGGTACGGTACGAATACGGTACAAAAACCTTGAACATACTGTACTTAGTACCTTCGCCTATAATTCGATGGAAATAAACAATAAGCATTTTATTGCGGCGTATCTTTTTTTGATAGCTGCGCGTCACAGACAAGCAAAGAACAGTAAGAAATTTAATGCAAGGAAATGGCCGTGTGGGAAATCGATTCCCTACTTCCAAGGTCATACGGCAGAATTAAACTAAGTTTTGATTTGATATGTTTGTGAACAACAATTGAACAGTCTATGTTACGAGAAAAGGTCTACTCAGTGGATTACGAGTCTTAATTTACGACCATTACGTAATGCAAGCCAGCACAACTTCAGCCAAGAGTTATCAGATTTAGAAAGTTGAAGTTCGATGTCGAGACAGTAACTGTATTCCTTGATCAGCCACCGAATTTCTCTTCCGACGAAAAGCACACGCTACGGCAGCACGGAAGCTCGGCATGGAATAGACGATCAGAAGGGGATCCAAAATAGCCTGCACATTATAGAGTGTCGACAAGAGGTAGTTAACCAGTAAATTCTGGTAACCCGTGATACGGTACTGCACGTAATACAGCTCATACGGGATCCAGCATACGCACACACTAACGGTCAGCACCATCAGCAGCCGCAGTCCCGTGTGATGCTGGTGCATCAGGCTCCGCTCTCGTACCCACACCGCCACCGCTGCGACGATCATAAAGACAATTGGCAGGCAGAATATTACTACTGTGACAGCAATCGACCAGGCATTCAACCCGTTTGACACTCGAACATGTATGTAACATTCGCCTGGATCCTGTTCATAATGCAGTGATTCAGCAATCAGCCCCGGTAGACAGACCAAATGGATAAAAACGAGATTCATGACGACTATAGCCAAAGCGGTGCGTTTCGTACAATTGCGATAGGATGTCGGCGCGAAGAGCGCCCACAGTCGGTTGATGGCGATGACCATGTGCAGATTCATGGGAACCCCAGCGATAAGCCACATCGAGTACAGTAGCAGCCCACAGGTGCCGTCACTCACAACGGGAAAGGATTCCGGGAAGTAATACACCAGGACTTCTGCATAGTTAGTGATGCTACAGAGGGCGTTTGATAACAGCAGAGCGACGAGGCAAACGGAAAACGGTGTCTGCAAAGTTTTATGACAGAAGTAAATGAATATAACGACGAGGTTGGCGATGAAAGCACCAACAGCGATGAGTGTTTCGACGACGTAGGAGCTTACAAAGCCCAATTTATCCGAGAGAAAATCAAATGTATCTGTGGAATTCATGATTTGCGGATTTCATGCAAACTACACAAATCGCAACATAATTGTCTGAAAATTGTATGTGACCTTTGGTATCCTATTAGAAAAATTTGCAATATTGATGCAGTTGTGATGGATACACCAAAACTGTTGCAGGAGAGGTTATTATAAACGGTTAAACGGGATATTATGACAACACTCTTGACATTTGATTAATTCTCGGAAGCGTCAAGAAAGCATGTGATCGGCTTCTCCTGGGAGTAAAGGACGCATCGAGCCGTCGAATGACGAGACTATTGCCCTTGATCTGCGCACCAACAGTGCAAAGTAAATAAGACAACAGATGGAACAACTACAAACTATAAATGCAGCCACTCAATTAAATGCACGAGGATCTGTTCATCTTGGCCAGTTTGTCTGTTATCACGACTTTACAGTATGTGTTATTACATCTTTTTCCGTTGTGATATCTCGTGAAGCGTATTAAAATAACAAGAGCTCTGTTCAGGACAAACATTGTCAGCAACATTCAATGAGTAAGCACGCATTCATATCGTTTGTTTTATGACGTTGCTTTATACGCACCAATAAAAAACGTGATAGAAATTACTAAAGCACTAAATAACTAAAATGCGCTTTCCTTTCCAATTCAGACGGTTCAGTATTGCAAATTATAGGCAACGGAAATATGGGTCCTCCAGGCCCCGTCACCGGTCACGGTTAGCTATTTCATATCAGAAGCGATTACCAGTGAAGCTAGCCTACCAGTATAATTTAGCTTTGTAAATTATTATGCGTGTAGTTAAAAAGTTGACCTTTGATATCGTGATGGATGCAATTCTCCATCGGCTACAGAATTTCTTATTCGACCAAAAGCCCGTGTCACGACGGCACGAAAGGTCGGCATGGAGTACACAATCAGAAGGGGATCCAGAATTGCCTGAACATTATACAGTATCGATAAAAGAAAGCCAACCAGATAACTCTGATACCCCGTGAAACGGTGAACCAGAAAATACATGTCATACGTAATCCAGCATACACACACACTGACCGTCAGCACCATCAGTAAACGCTTTCCTGTATGGTGTTGATGTAACAGGTTTCGTTCTCTCCACCTCAACGCCACTGCTGGCAGAATCATAAAAAGTACTGGCAGGCCATAGATCGTTGTCGCGACCGCAAGCGACCACGCATTTAACGCATTGGATGCACGAAAATGTATGTGACAATCGTCCGGATCCCGCTAATAATAGGGAATTTTAGATTTACACGTAGTTGGGCCCACGTACATGAGAAACTACGAGGTAACATAGGCTGTACGACGGCGAACCGGAAGCGCTTTAGATTGCCATACGGCTGCAGTGACGTACACATAGCAAAATTTTCACTGTCGCGACAAACAAAAAGCCAAATAAATGCGAAAAATTTTAATCATCTCGAGAATAAATTCAAATAAATTCCACAAAATTCAGACTGGGTTTTAGTTTTACTGCTTTTAGAATCTTATTAAATACAAAGTTTTCTAAAATACCTGTCCTCTGGGGATTCATCTGAAATATTCACCGTTTCCTGTTCAAGGGATCATGGCTAATTCCTTCACACAATTTCTTCAAACAGTTATCGCCCTGGATGAATTCGAACCAGAAGAACTCGCACTATTCCTGTCCCTCTATCACGATCAAAAATCCCAGGAAAAAGAAAACAGAAAAAGGTTCAACCTTAATGATATCAGCGATGAGGACTGTATTGCGTGGTTCAGATTCCACCGCGAGGATATCGAAGAGTTGCGCAAGGAGCTTCACATCCCGGATGTTGTGCGCAGTGAAACAGGATCCGTATTTGAAGGAACCGAAGCTTTGTGCATCCTTCTTCGTCGCCTGGCGTATCCTTGTCGTTATACGGATTTAACAATCATATTCCATAGATCCATAGCGGAACTATCCATTGCCTTTCACTGGGCTATTGAACACATCTACAGCGAATTTATTCACCTGTTAACGACTCTTGATTTATGCTGGCTGACACGGCAGGACCTTGAGGAGTTCGCTGAGGCAGGGCGTTCCAAGGGAGCCCCCCTGGAGAATGTTTGGGCATATATTGATGGTACAGTGCGACCAATTTGCAAACCTTCAGAGGGACAGCGAGTAGTTTGGAACGCACATTATCGTATGCATAGCATGGTATTTCAGTCTGTTGTGGCCCCCAATGGAATGATCGTAAACTTCGATGGCCCCTGGCCGGGGAGGAGGCACGATGCCGGAATTCTTGCTGACAGCAAACTGATGGATAAATTACGAGATAAAATGGCAGAAATTGGGAAGAAATTCATTTTGTACGGAGATCCGGCATACCCGTCAAATCAGTACATCGAAGCTCCATTTCGAAGGCGCATGGCTCCATTGCCCGATGATCAGCAACAGTTTAATGAAGACATGAGCAGGTGCAGAATATGCGTGGAATGGGGATTTGATAAAATTGTTCAATATTTTGCATTCGTTGATTTTTCAAAAAACTTGAAAGTGTTAATGCAGCCAGTGGGTAAATTCTTTTTGGTTGCTGCTCTGCTAACAAATTGTCATACCACACTTTATGGTAGTCAGACGGGATCGTACTTCGGAGTAGATCCTCCATCTTTAAAGGAATATTTAAGGAACGCAAAATTTAATGATAATTGAAAGCAAAAAAGATCTGTGCTGCTGTCATGAAATTTCTGTATACATATTGAGAATTGCTATTAAAGTGCAGTTAAACAGTGCGTTCTGACAAAAATTAAAGTAACTGGGAATATCAAAAACAGATCCATCAGAATTACCACAACAACAAACCGGAAGTCAGAAAGTTTTCTGGATAGAACCCAATACAAAACTTACATTGATATTCATTATACCTCCATCAAAATTATTCACAGTGCCCAAAATTGTAGCTGTGCTTTTACCCAGTATTTTTCTCCGTGAAACGCGTGACCATTTGCCCAAGCATGCGGTTGTTTTCGTACAGCGCTTCTCGGTCTCGTGCTGCCTGATACAGTTTTTGCGTCTCCAGTTCGAGTCTTTTCTCTTCCAGGCGAAGCTTTTCGCGTTCGATTTCCAATTTGCTCTCCTCCAGTTTGCGATCAGCTAGCTTCTCTTCGCGCTTGTCCGAAAAATAGCCCGCTATTGCTGACTGCCAGTTTTTCCTCCCCTTTGTAGGCTTTAACGCTGATCCCGTTGGTTTTTGTAGGCTCGTTCCCGCATTGTATTCGTCATCGGTGTTGGGCTCGTCGTCTTTCTCTTGTTCTTCTGCAGTTACACATTATTCGTGAAGTTTATCTACGTCATTTGTTTCCTATATTTTCCTAGTTTATTTAGCAATGAAACTTACGTAGTTTTCTTTTCTTACGGCTGTTCTTGGCAGCACACATCAGTTTCTGTTCGTGGCGATCTCTTCGCTGATCTGCTTCGGATTTCTCTTTGTCTTGTGCGCGCGCATGTTCTTTTTCCAGTTGACAGATTTCCAGAAGGAGGACTTCTTTTTCTGTAAAATTTCCATCCTCTGGATCACCCGTTAACTTTTCCCAGTTCGGATTGTCCTTCTTGAACTTGGTGATCATTATGGTAACATGATCACGTACAGCCCGTGGAGAATTCAGGTCCACACCATCTTTTTTGGATTCTTCGAAGATGTCTTCCCACATTTGCCCACGTTTGTTCGCTGGAACCGAGTACCCTTCGTGAAAACGATAGGAACGCAAGACTCCACATTCTTCTTCATGGGTCCACAAATGCCGTTTACGTTTGTTCTCAGGGTTCTGGGTCTGCGATGCTTCCGGTTCCACAGACATAATTGGGTACCACAAAAATCTTTTTTTACCAAAAAAATACTATCTTGACTTGGCGATTCAGTAAAATTTGGCGATTCAGTGAAATATATTGAAACTAGTGTTTCAACCAAAAAGCGGTGTAGTATAAAAGCGCGTGTTGAAAAACATAAGTCCAACAAAAGAATTTGGTTTTCGCTGACTGAAGCGTGACCAACCTTCTGGCGGCAGGCGGTTTGAGAACACAAAAAAGATCCATGGGCAGCCAGCGCTAGAGAGTAGTTGAGATATATGTCTGAGTCGTTGCCTAGATCTGCGTAGGGCAGATCGTTTTTACGCGTCATGCAACGACGCTAGGTTACAGATGCTTACGTCGCGGACGGACGTAAATCGACCCGTAACGGAAAGTTCTTTGCGAAACCCGACCTGAACGTAACTTGTTTTGTGAAATCTAAAATTCGCTAATGTGCCACATCCGAAATCAATCCCGGTATACAAACAACATGGATATACACAATTGTCACGATAACGGAGGCCAACGCGGTGCGCTTTGTACAGTTTCGGTATGATGTTGGTAGGTAGAGCGCCCACAACCGATTGGTGGCAATGACTACGAGCAGATTCATGGGGATACCGGCAAACAGCCATGTCGAGTACAGAAGCAGCCAGCAGTTGCCATCACCAAGCGGAAATGTTTCCGGAAAGTGCCACACTAAGACATCTGCGTAATTGGTTACCCTGTAGAATGCGTTGGATAACATCAGCGCAACGAGGCACATGGAAAATGGCGACTGCAGTGTTTTATGGCAGAAGTACTCTGTAATGAATGTAACCATAAGATAAGCGGTGAAGGCAACGATGATAACGAGTGTTTCAATAACAAACAAGCTAGGATCCCAGTCGGTTTGCTATAAAATCGGTCATACCCGTGAAGTTCATAATTAAAGTGGGTTTCAACAACTGGTTTGGACTGCAGTCAAAACTGCTGGAAAGCAAAAGTGGCGTAATACCTGTATTAGTAGGCTAGCCCAATTTTCTTCATTAATATTGGTGTAGTTGGGAAAGCGAAAATTCGTGCCATATTTTAGATGCATTCGATGAATTTTCGGAAACGTCAAGCACCCATATGCCCGTTTTCTTCTGAGACTAAGCGATGCACCGCTTCGCCGAATGCCGATACCGTTACCGTATTCCTCGATCTACGCATATTCAGCGATAAGTACATAGGAAACCAACTTTTGGCGGTTGCAGAATTTGACGTAATGGAAATGCAACCGCTCGGTAAAATGAAGATCGCCTTAAAATGATGATCGCTGGCCGAAAAACTGTTAACCTGCTGTGAAATGGTGGATACTTGTCTTGGAATTACAAAAATTACTTGCCCGAGTTAAAACATATTTAATGTCAAGAACAGCAATTAAGAACACGTTACTTTGCCTTGATGCGAAGGCACATCAGTCCACTAACCTTTGTTCCAATGCCCGATAAGTAGCTTACCGACTGGTTGCTAATTTACATCTTTCGTAGACAGACAAATGATGGAGCGGTCATTCGCTTTTTCATAAGTTGTAACTACTATTTAGTTTATAAGGCTGGTGTAAATGCAACAATAAACAAATGGTCCATGCCTAAAAAAAGCCGTTTACGCATCGCTTAAGCTAAGAGCATTATTATGTCGCGCGCCTTCTTGAGAGAAAAGCCATCTTCGGATGGTCAGTCGAATATCTGGCATGCTAAAAACCACAAGGATAGGATCGAGAACGCCTTGTACACTGTACAATGTGGACAACCAGAAATCCACAAGAAAACTATAGTCATTAAGAAACGTCTCCACTATGTAGTACACGCCATAAGGAGTCCAACATACAAACACGCTGATCGTTAAAACCAGTAGAACGCGAAATCCGGCTCGGTGATTACTTTTCTCTAGCGGGCGCTGCTTTATCCACAAAACCAACGTCGAGATTACCATAAAGACAATGGGAAAGATGTATCCGGCAAACATGCCCAACATAATTAATGAGACAAAGGTGAAACGTTTGCTATAACACTCGGTGAAGAATGGGTCGTTGTATAATCTGTCCATGATCACAATCGGCAGGCATGTCAAATGGACGTAAATCAAGGCAACAACTATCAACGCAATTGCCGTTAATTGTGTTGAGCTGCGATAAGAAACCGGGAAGAACATGGCCCATAAGCGGTTGATGGCTAACATGACGTGTAAGCTCATGGGAATACCCGCTAGAATCCAGTTGTTGTAACTAAACAGCGCGCAGATGAAATGACCCGTTAGAAAGGTAATGGAAAAATAATCCGCCACGACGACAACATAGTTCACAACGGCGTACAGAATGTTCGATGCCATCAGCGCCAGAAGGCCCATTGTGAAAGAGGAGATGGCGCCGCGTTTACAGATAATCGCTACCATAACCACAACGTTACACAGAACTGCCCAGACGCTGATTAGCGTCACAGCGGCAAATGTAATTTTTTCTTCTGGTTGCAGTGTGATATTTGTGACATTCATCTTTAAGCTTTGATACTGTTTTGAGTACAGAACACCAGCTCGCACGATTTGATGAACCATAAAATATTTTACAAGAAATACTCTAATAAATGATGATACTGAATTTCCGCATTCTAGCCTGATATTGTCCGTTTACTTTATTGACGCTTTTGTACATTATTTACCGTCAATCGCAGTTTTAAGGACCTATTGCCAACCGGAAATGAGGTCGTAATCCGGTGATGGGGCTGCATAATTGCTGTTACCGGTTAAATTATCAACGAACTGTGAGCAGTTTAATACAAATTTTCGAAAATCTATTAAATTTTATTTTGGACGAAAAAGCACCAACTGAAAGAAAGCTGCAATAGCAGCACGAAAATTTTTCATCGTGCAAATAACTAATATTGGATCTAATATCGCTTGAATATTGAACAATGCGTAAAGAAGAAACCCTAACAGGCTGTCTTCGCTGCCGGTAAAATGCTGTACTAAATAGTGTACTTCATACGGTAACCAGCATAAAGACACGCTCACGGTCAGGACGATGGACAGACGAAATCCGGCGTTATCGCGGCGTGTGTGACGTTGCCGGTGTTTCATCCAGAGTAACCCGGCGGACACACATAAAGACGATGGGAAACGTATAGACCACTATCATCACAATCTCCACCCACACCGCCAATGCAACATTATTCAGATGACACTCATTCGCAGAGGAAACGGTCAGACGATAAAGCATACTATCCAACACAACACCGGGTGCACACACAGCGTGAATATAAATGACGGTGCAGACAACAACTGCAACCGCCCAGCTTGTAGTGCAGTTGCGGTATTGTAACGGAAAGAAGAAAGCGGCTAACCGACTAGCGGCGATCACCACGTGGAGATTCATCGGTATCCCAGCTACTACCCAGTCTGAGTACTCCATGAGCGTGCACGTACGGTGTCCGGCCGGAAAGTGTTGAGGAAAGTACCACACCAAAATAGTCACGTAGTTAGTGATGCAGAAAAATGCATTAGATGTCGCTAAAGCGACCAGAAACACGGAAAACGGGGTGCGTAAACGCCGGGTACAAGCGTACGCGATAATGATAGGCAGATTGCAAAAGAAGCCAGTGAAAATAATTAAGGTTTGGATACAAAATGAGCTCGTTAAGCCGAGTGGATGGTCATTCGTCAGGTTGGTTGCATTCATTTTTCAAATTCTTCTTGGAATCCTTTGCGGGCAGGATAAGTGACGCTGCCATTTGTCTGGACCTTATGCCAAATAAAATACAAAGCTTGGAAGAAAATATACTGAATATTGCATGTGAGCGTATGTTATTGTTGGGACCGTCAACAGACGAAATGCCGCGTTAGCAAATTTTTCTTGTTTGCTTATGGGAGCAGCTTGAATTCGGCCAAGTTTTGGTCGATGCAATCATTATGCAACGTTATCAAGTATATTTTATGTAAGGAAATAGAAAACAGGAAATAGAAAAAACAAGACAAGACCTGGCATGAAGAAAATAGACTGGTTTTGTGCACACGTAACGTATGCTGACTGCGTTTAGCGCTTAAATGTTACGTTCAACCACAGAATCATTACCCATACTTACAATGACTGCAAATCCCCAGTTGACTGCTTTAACGTTCTGCTTATTTAACCATGATCAGTTGCCGCTGTAAATCGCCAAGTCACTGTCATAAAGTTGTTTTCACCAATGTTGTAGGTAATTAATGTAATAAAAGTTAAGTCGTAAGAAAAGGAGACAGTTGTTGAAGGTGTCCTTAGGAATGAATAAATAATATTTTGGTGCACCATGTCAAAATAATGGTTCAGCAGTAAATTTATCAAAATTGTGTTATGAAACAGGTGCAGGGAAGGCTCTACAAAATGGCGTCCGCGGCTTGTGCAAACCTTAAATCGGGATGTCGATCAACCCTGGCCCATCGTTTCACCTTTTCACCACGATGCTCCTCGGGTAGTGCAGTAAAAGAACAGTGTTCTGGTTCATTCGTGCAGAAGGGCTGGTTGACAAATTAAGTTTAAAGGTATCAAACCTGATCGTCATCGGTCGAAGGAGACAAAACCTTTCTGTTTTGGCAATGATTTTGATTTTCTAAAAGAATCGGCAAAACAGATGACTTTTTCGAAAACGTCTACCATGTTCATACTTTCTGTGTGGTCCGTGGATGCCCACCGAATTTTTTTCTGTTTCAACTGTTTTGGGAAAAACAGAGAAGTACAGTCTGTATGAATCCACCACCACTTCAGCCAGCCAGGGTTAAAGGTTGCGATGCGGCGACATTGTCTGGACCTGGTTCAATCGTGTGGCTCCGAATGTTAGTCATCATCGCCAACAGGGCCGCGATGGAACCACCCATTGCTTTCGAAATCGCGATGACTTCACAGATCAAAAGCCAATACTGAACTTATATACCATTCGAAAACCGATTGGAATAACATCTTCCACATATATGCAGAAAGCGATTCCAATCGGTCTTCGAATGGACCGGTTGGGGCGTTACTGAAGTCCTTCGGGAAGAATTAGTTGCAGTTTGGAATAATGTCCGGTTAAAGGAAATTATCCAGGTGCTGAAGAGATGCGAGGACTGGTCAAACCTGGCAGTGGCCGTAGCATTGCATATGATCATATGTCATGTTTTGCCATTTGTTGCATTAAACCCTTCCATGAAGGGATTAAAAGCAACAAACGGCAAAATTGCATTGAGAAACAATGAAAATGCAATGAAAACTTTCAAGAAAGTCATCGCTTTGCTGTCTGTTGAAAGCAATATTTGAGTGCTGATGAAGCAGCTAGAACATCCAACAGTTTAAATACTTGTTGGCAGCAATATTTACGATGGCGCTGTCTTGCGTGAATGGCCGATAATTATCGTGCAATAAATTTTTAAATGCTGGAAAGCGACCGTGTCAGCATCGCCCGGAGGGATAAAGAAATTATGATTAACAATTGTTTACGACACAACGAATATTAATATGCCAAAAGTCATTGTTATGACTAAGCCATTAAATCGACTTGTAAGTTTAACCTTTTTTACTGTATAGTAAAGCTGCCGTTGATTGGTGCGGTATCTTAAACAATAAACAAGGACCATGACAGCGTATTTCGTGGTCAGAAGTTAAGCACCACTGCACCAAGACAAGCAAGCGCTACCCGTAAGACAAGCACCAAGTCAAGCACCTATGATTGCTATAAGAGACGCAAAGATTTATCACTACAAGCTTGTTTTCACGATTAGGTACTGTAGTCGTACTGTTAACCTTCATTAATTTTATTTTGCAGTGCGTTGTACTCGTATGTATGTTACGTTGTATATATGCAGTTAATCCAGATTTTAGACCGCCAAACTAAATCAGCCAGTAAAAAATTCAGCGCGCACAAGCGTCAGCTTGTTACATTTCTTTCGCTGTTCTGACAATAAACAATTGTGTGTCTTAAGATGGAGCAGAGACGTTGAACTCCTTCCATGGGTTAGTAGTATCCATCGACACCGGCTTTAAAATGGTACATTTCTGTTCACCGTTCAACTCGGCAAAGACCAGTGTATAGCTTACTACCCCGCACACAACCTGTAGAACGCACTAGATTAATCTAGGAGCACACAGGAAAAAACTGGCTAATTCTGGGCATGCATTCATTTTTTATGTAGACAGAACTACCATACTCACAGAAACTGCAAATTCGCGGTTGACTGTTAATTTTGCCAGTATAATGCCGGCTTTTTTGCTCGTGACACGCCTTAAATGTTTCTGCAGAAGTTCTTCGTCATCATTTGCCACGGACTCCTCTGCCAGAATACGTTCAACGGTAATTCGAACATCCGACTCCTACAATGTATACAGTGTTTGTCTTTGTTAACATATACAATTACATGTAAACCGCGGTAGAATTGAAATAAATATACGAGCCGTAAACATTAAACTGATAATCAACCATTACGATTTTTAGTAAAGGTTAATGCGATATTAATAATTTATCTCAGGGAAATGCTTTTAAAAGGGGCTGTCTTTCAAACAACCTTAATTTGCGATCTTTTTATTGGATGGTCTTTAAAGCAGAAAAGTCACTAAATGGCAAAATGCAGTTATCCAAATGTGATGATAGTACAAGAAACGCAAATTCGGCATTACCGATTCTGTGACCAACACCAGTGCTACCGTTTGCGCAATCACTGTAGCAACATCCGAGATCAGCTGTAAAATAACGCTCCAGGGCATTGTCGCCGGCGTCCCGTACATTTTGCAGATCTGATTAATGATAAACAGCAAGCGCAATAAGCGTTCAGCATAGACAGTAAAATTCAGCCAATGTAAACAGTCGTCATACACTGCAACCGTTTCGCAAATGTCTACATGATCTCTCAAGATGTCGCGAAGGTTTCCCTTGGTGGTTGGCCTTGGCGAAGCCGTGCGGATTAACTGTTGCTTAATACGTCGAAACAGTAAGCCGAAACAAATCGGCATTGTGACAATAAAACACTGCACTGACTGTTTACCGACAGCTGAGAAGCGCAACACAACATTAACGCTAATCAGCAGCGGACCGATGATTTGTTGTAAAGGTGTCCAGGCAGGATGGGTGTGAAGAATATGCGTCTTCTTTGCCTCGTAATCGTGAACATCCTCATAATACACCCCTGTTGCATTAAACACGCGATGCACAAGGAAGATGCCAATCGTCAGCAAAGAGATAATGGTGACATCGCTTGTGAAGAGACACGTGGTCGATAGTTTCCGAAATAGATAAAAAATGCTTAACAGCCGCCGATTTGCAAGCCACATGATTGTAACGTACGTTCCATGCAGTACGGGGAAGACATACGAGTGCAGATCTAGCAGCACATCGGATATTCGCTCCGACTTCGGTGTACTGGACATACCTTCAACAGCGGCAAAGACATTCGCAGTAATTTGCACCGCGACATAGGTGGTCAAGAAGAAAACGCCAAGCTTATTAGTTTGTTTTGCACTGTGTGCATGTCCTATTGTATGGGTCCATAAAAACCCAAAAAAGCTCAAAAGAAAAATCCAGGATGAACAGAAGACACTGACCAGAAATCTTGTGCTTCGAGATTTTCCCGTATCTTCGAACATTCTGAATACTTTTTAAATTTGATTTTAATGTACCACACGACAGTTCAATGAAGGAAGCTTGAAACAAAATCGCTTTGCTCAGGCAGCTCGTTTATGACTTGTGTATGTATGTAACTGTATGGGCTGACAACGGGGTAAGGCGCGGCTCCAATGACATGTCAACCTCTGTTTCCGACCTTTGCCATTTGCAGAACTGTCCGAATGTCGTTTAACGATCGCCTGCTGCTATCATTGTTTGATCACTAAACCACTGTGTCAAAATAGTCTCAAAATATTATTCTACTAAAGGTAAATTTTATAGCATGCATTTAAAACAAGCAGACCAACCTTATTTGGTTCTGAGACATCTTTAGCAAAATTCGCAAATGATTTCATAACAAAACCAACCACTGTAGAACCGTTTTCTTGTAAATTTAAATTAGCCTCCAAATAAACCTACTTTCCTAACAAAAGCTTGTAGATACAAGTGACCCAAGATATGCAGTACAATGAGCGGCAACTCGAACACCTATAGATATGAGCTTATGACACGTACAATCTAACGTCAAACACGGCATTTCGAGCATAAAAACAGGATAGCAACTTTAATGGGCCTGAAACTAGCTCTTATTATAAAATCTAGCTCTTCAAAACTTTCACGGATGAAGGGCATTCAGATGTCTTTGATGATTGTAACGAGTTCGAAAATCGGGAAGAATTTGTGAGTGTCTGTGCTGGAACCAGTCAATCGGGCAATCAATAGCATCGGAAACCTGGCGGCAATTGCACCTTTCCTGCTGCGTTTACATCCCAATAGGCGTCCTAAAAATTTGACATATTGTACATTGTATCAAAATATGTATGATGAAGACAAAATGCGCATACCGATTCTTGTTTGTACCTATGGTGCGTGTAGCAGCTCTGACATCTAGTGACATAACTGCCATAACATGACATAATGTTTTCCTGACCGACATTAGTCACGAAGACAACTGCCACGCTTGTCTTTCAAGCACTAAGGTAAAACGTTTAATCAGATGGTGCGACAAAAAATTTTCACAAAAGGAGTTGCCGTTACATTTTGGATTTCGAATAATTCATTCGAAATTTTGCAGCTATTACGAGTGCAAATGGAAAATCACACAGAATTTTCTGAGGAGCAACAGTTCCTGCTCCACTACAACCGCTCCATGAACCACGCCAACTACACCCAAACCAATACTGCCATCTGCATGATTTGGTAACCGGATGTTATATTTCTGATAACATGCAGTGTCCTTATGATAGTTTTTAATCTGCCGGTTGCCGTACTGCTCTCAAGAAAACAGCTACGGACACCTTTTTCCGTCTGCCTCACGGCGTTATCATTCGCCAATGTTCTGTGCTCGGTGCATGGCGTGTTCATTGCTCTACACATTGCGTGTCCTTCGGTCTGGTATCCTGGTAGTGCTTGTTATGCAAACCATTACGTGGGCTGGTGCATATCTGGTCTGCCCGAAAACCTCCACTGCCTGATCGCCGTAAACAGAATCTGGGCCGTGACCTTTCCCGTATCATACCGGAATTGGCAAACAACGCGAATGACAGCCGCTTTTGTCGGTATAGTTATATTGTACGTGCACATCGTGGCACTGCCAGGATTGGTAATGAATTCCATGTATGGTCGTCCACGTCCATCAGCACAAATTTACAGATGTTTCATCGACACTACAACATTTTCGGCATGGCATACCGTAGCTATGCTTCTCGTATTCGAACTGCCGGCAGTGTTTCTTCTGTTCGCCTGGATCAACCTTATGGTGGTGACCTTGGAAAGGCGTAGGAAAAGAAAACAAGTAGCAGGCAAAGCCCAGGAACAGAAGAAAGGCAGTAGTGCCTTTATGGTGTTTTCGGTATTGACGGGAACCGCCATCTGCTGCTGGCTGCCATACGAGACAATGTTCGTGATCATAGGATTCCGTGAATTTGTCGTAGAAGAGTGGACACTGTCAACGTATCTCCTGGGTTTGTATAAAATGCAGCAGATTCTGGATCCCATTCTTATCGTATGCACTATGAAGGAGCTACGAGTGCAGTTGAAAAATGTGATTTGTACTTGAAAGGACCACAGAAAATGCAACAAGAGCGGCGGATGGAAATAAATTTATTATACCGACCAGAAATGGCCACAATTTCAGCATACTTTCGAAGTATTGACAATACTGAATCATTCAGGCTAACACACGTGAAAGGCAATTTATGTTTTGTCAGAAAATTAATCTGTAATTCATGTTCTGTCTGAAAATTACATAGTTACAACCAACAGCACCAAGGCTGGGCAGTTGAGTGAAACCAACCGTCCAAGCGTGGAAGGAAGCTCTGACTGACGACGCACTACGGCAGCACAAAAATTTCTCTAAATCCCATTAAAATCTGGAACTTTTGTTCAATTTCTGCGTGCACGTTTTATGTCTTTAGCACCTTTGGTAATCGTTTTTTCAAGTTAAAATGCATTAGACGGATGCCAAAATTTTCTTTGCATTTTTTTGCGAGAAAATTTCACTTATACACGTAATGTCTTAATAAATGGTAATGTTCATCCAGCGATGACTGGAGGTTGAGAATTACTAATTTAAAGGATGCTTTTAATGGTCTCTTCCTAACTGCTTTTGAAAAGGAGCACCTTGTGTCGATTATAAGTGCACTTGGAAATTGCGTATTTTCCGGCAAGCGTATCGGAAACACAAATTGTTCAGAGACCGCCCTGACCGTTCATCGCGCAAAGGTCTTCTGGTAACCAGCAACGGGCACCTTTTGGGTCATTTTTGTGGCATTAACAGTTTCCAGAAAAGGTCTGGCAAAAAAATGCTTTCGTAATTTTTTTAGAGGTACGAGGACGAGCTTAGTACATGTGATAGACAAAAAAACTAGCGAGAGAATCTGATAACCATGCCCGGCCCGTGCATCACGGGCAACCACCCAGGTTTGTCAATGCTGGTAAACACATCACATTTAATACAAAAATCACCCCAGTAATACCGCACACTTTATTTCTTACAGTAAAACTTTGACTTTGTAGAACCCCATGTGAAATTTCAGAGGACTCACTTTTTACCCATTCTGAAAGATTTTTTAATTTTAGTCGGAGTATTTGTCACATCGCTAAGTCCGCTACGAGTGTTTCTTTTTCGCTTATTTTTCTGCAGCAGTTTTTCTGCTTCCCGTTGCTCGAGCGCTGCGATTACTTTACTGTCCGTCACAATAAGCCATGCTTCGGCGCGCAGACGAGAATCTTTAAGTTTTCTCTTTTTCTGAGGATGAGCGCTCATGGAATTATGGTGCCAGTCTGCAGCCACTTTGTCAGCTGCAACCGATGGAAGAAAACCTTCTGCTTTAGAGATTGCGAACGCCACAATCTCTTCTATCTGTCCTTCAGTCAAAAGTGGGATTTTTCGAAGATTTGTGCGTATAACTTCCAGCTCGCTCACGTATACGGTGGCAACAGAAATGGGAACGTCTGATAGAAATTGGCTTGGAACGGGCTCTACGTAAGCTCGGCAGACCGCATCCGGGTTGAAAGGATAAATTCCGGAAGAAGCAAACCCAGAAATAATATTGGCGGCCATGTTGAATTCATCCCATTTTTTCACAAGGTGACGAGCGAAGTTTTGTTTGTTAACCTACGATCAAATTTAATTTTTAGATTAATTTATCACATTTATTTATTAACTAAAATTAGCATAAAAATGAAAATACCTCTTCTTCAGCGATAAGGGTCATCAGTCGCAAATAATCCCGCCAATATTTTTTAACAGGGCCGTACACCTTCAGATCCATGGGTTGCAACTTCCCGGTCTGACCAGACGGCAGTATGACAACGGTAATATCTTTGTCAGACTTCATGCACTCCGATAAAAACTCCAGATTGAACATATGAGAGCTGTGCCCATCGAGAAAAATAACATTCTGAAAAAATACACAACATACACAACATACACAACATTTTTCAACATTTATTTTTTATTAAAATGAAAGAAATTTATGACAACTAATTTTTTAAATTTTTTTAATAGAGTAAAAGAAAACACGCACTTTTGCTGCCGTCATTTTGGGGATGACTTCTTCTCTGATATATGAAGTGAAAGTTGAATTATCCATCACGCCTGACGAGTTAAACCCAATATGACATCTGTCGTCTGTGCCGTCAAAACGAGTAGCAAGGAAAACTTTGCCGTCAAATAAAATTAATGGTCGCAGAATTTCTCCAGCCGCATTGCCGCCCGCCAACACCGTGATTAGTTCGCGGTCGTTACCGTCATAGTACGAAAGGACTTCCTTTACCCCCCGCTTGGCGTATACCGTCGTCACTTTTTCCGCTACCTGGAACGCTGACTCGTCAAAATTCCAGATACCTGCAGGATCAAGCAGCAGGCCCCCGGTATTAAGCTCACTCAATCGTTGTATCCAACCCTCCCGATTCTCCACGGTCCACTCTTTAGCCTTTTTTCGGGAAACGCTGTGTGAAATTCGCTGAACAATCTTCGGGTGCCTTTTAAGAAATTCGCGATGCCAGTATGATGAAAACATCTTTCGATTTTTGGGCACATCTGTACAAGGTAAAATTTTTGTAAGTAAAAGAAAAACCAGCAACGTACAAATATTCTCACACTAACGTCACTGAATATTCCGTCAGAAACGGACGCATTCAAATTTAAAATTTAACCAATATAAATAAATGCGATAACAGTCAATAATTTAATTTAATTTTACACAAATAATTTTAAATCTCATTTTTAGCTACCTTTATATTTGGTCAGTAACGGCACAATCCGCTTTAAAAATCTTTTATCCAGAGGGATGCCGTTCTCCCCCACTTCAGCAGCAGATTTTCGATGTAGTTTTCTTCGGCTTCCGAAAATTTTCTCATATGTGCGCCTTTCTTTTCCGTACGCACGCCCTTCAGTTTATTCCAGAACGAAGAATAAGGAACCTTGTACTTTTTCGCTGCAGCGTACTGTGACAGGTTCCCCGTTCTACAAGCCTTCAGCGCCAAGGCCATACGATCATCGTACGCTGCTGGTAAAGGCACGTCGCTGGCAGGTTCCTCCACACAATTCTCACTCAACGGTAGGCCGGAAACAACGCTGATACTCGCGCAAGAAATCTCCATCGCAGGTGCAAAAAACAAACTGGCAGGTAGCCGTACGTCGGTGATATTCTCATCGTAGTACATCTCGCCAGATGAATCTTTATATTTAGATGGTAATTTTATAACATTATTATCAAGAGCTTGGTTAATTAATGTCAGCCACTGGTTACTGGAAATTTTGCGGAGAACCAATTATAAACAAAGTTATAAAACCAAAACAAACAAAGTTATAAAACCAAAACAAAACTCGCATTTAAATCGGCTACCGCCAGCCTAAGGTGGCTGACAGTGTTGCACAGCACGCAAATGGTTATCAGATTCTCTCGCTAGTTTTTTTGTCTATCACATGTACTAAGCTCGTCCTCGTACAATTACAAGTATTCCAATAATATACCGCTACTCCAACCACTAGGTTACTTACATATCTCGCTATTTGTTTGTTTGTTTGTTTATTCAGCTTAACGTCTACAACGATCAGGATAAGTTCCTGCATTAGGTGGTAGACTACCGTAAACCAAGATAAGATCGAGACTTCGCAAAGTAAAAAAAATATTCAAATTCAAATTTTACAACAATTTATGGTGATCAATATGCAAAAAACGTTTAGTCCAATTTAGATCCTTCCATTTGAGGGAATCCAGAGAGGTTTGGAAATAGCCGATTGTCCTGTATGCGTCCTTGGGTAACTTTATTTCGTTCCACAAACTGGCTGCCAAGAAGGAATAACTCCGGTCACTTAGAAATATCCGTCCGTTAGATGATTGCGTTCCAGTAGGCTCCACTGCGTAGGGATGCTCGTCCAAGGCCGTTACCTGTCTCGTTCTACCTGCAACACAATCAGCAGCAGAACACTTCTCGCGAAATTTGAAAAATCTAGTTCCATAAGGAACCAGACCAAACAACAGTTTGTACATTAGCAATAACAGTTTCCGAATTCGACAGAACAACAGCGATTTGTACCCTGCTTTCTCAAGCGTTTCTATGTATTCGAAAGAACGCGGGCCGAATCGAATAGTTTTTGAAAACCTTTCCTGACAGTTTTCTATTGCGTCAACTAACAACTTTTGCTGGTAAAATGTAACAGTACTGCCATATTCAGTTATCGGTCTTACTACTGAATCATACAGTCTTCTTCGTGCTGCACTATTCTGAAACGGAAAAAAAAGCGCGTTTAAATACCGTATTCGTTTTTTCATGCGACTGGCTAAACTGTAGCAATGAGACTGCCAACTAAGATGGCGGTCAATGTGAAGACCGAGATATTTGGTCTCCTTAGCTACCGGTATACTTTCATTGTTTAAAAAATATAAACTGTCCTGCAGTTTGACACGTTTCTTCGTAAAACGAACATGAACAGATTTCTTTGGGTTAAAAGTCAGTAGGTTGGTTTTGGCAAACTGGGAAATTTTATTCAGCGTTAACTGAAAGTCTTCTTCGTCAGCTACACACTCAGCTTTTCGTAATACACAAACATCGTCAGCAAACACAAATAATTCGCAATCAGTCGGCAAATCATTGATATCGTTCATGAGGCATAAAAACTTTTGTGGTCCGACAATTGAGCCTTGTGGAACACCACTTGTAACATTTCTGAATGAAGATATCTTTCCATCAACAATAACTGCCTGTGAACGTCCCCTCAAATACTCACTGAGAAGTTCGACTAACTGGCAGTTAACATTCATCTTACGTAACTTAGAAATTACGGTGTTGTGATCAGCTTTGTCGAAAGCATTGGTACAGTCTAAGAAAACGCAGTCTACATCTACACCATTATCAATGAAATCCATTACCTTTTGCACAAAAATCTGACACAAAAGTTCTGGGGAGTGACCTTTACGGTAACCAAACTGATAATCGGAAATAAGTCTATTGTTGTTTATGTACACAGTTAATCGGTTATTAAGACTTCTTTCGAATAGTTTAGAAACTGGGTGGAGATTAGCAACTGGCCTCCAACTTTTTGGAATCGTCAAGTCGCAAGACTGTTTAGGAACCGGTGTTACATAGGATACTTTCCATGAAACTGGATATTTTCGTTCAGACAGACAGGTGTTAAATAAAATTTTTAATGGCGCTATCAACGCGGCACCACAGGTTGTAATTAGCTCATTGGTAAACACGAACGGCCCAGAACTTTTGTCGTATTTACCGTCTTAATTACACCCCAAATATCAGCTTCGTTTACAAAATTCTCTTCGTCAACAGGCAAACTTTCAATCTGTTCATCTTCTAAACAATGTACTGGACACGGAACTAGTGCGTCTGAATAATGGGAATTCAGAGCTTCAGCTTTTTCTTCGTTGGTGAATGCAATGAGGTCACCACAACGTAGTGTTGGTATCCCCTCCCGGTCAACACACTTACGAACGTACGACCAAAATTTTTTCGGATTTGAACGAGATGCAGTTGCTACATCCTGAAGACTACGATTCGTGTAATTCTTGATGATTTTATCGCACTGGCGGGAGTAACATTTTCAGGTTGAACGTAATTTGGCTTTTCTATCATTACTGATCTCCTTAACGAATTTTTTGTGGGCGGTATCTCTCTTTCTTATTAATCGTTTTACGGACACGGGAAAGGTCACGGAAAACACTTTTGGTTTGAGCTTGCTTCTTTTAAAAAACTGCAGCGCTAATGTAACAATCTGGTTTTCGATACAAACGGCTATCTCCGAACAGTTTTTGTTTTTCAGTGCTGAAGCCCAGTCAATCTGGTAAAGCGAATTTCGGAACGGGATAACGTTTCTGTTAAAAATTTCCACACAACCTTTCTGTTCCTATCCTGAAAATTGTTCTTAGGGAGAAATAGTGAAAATGATATCCCTTGATGATCGTTAGTACTTGCTGGTGGGCTAACAGCTTTGATACCTTCGATAAACCATCGGGTAGGAACAATAACTAGGTCCAAGATATTTTCGTTCCGAGTTGGAAACGTAACAATTTGCTTGAGATTAAATTCTTTTAACGATTGGAGCAAAAGTTTTCCATGCAACGTACTGGAGGTAAAACTTTCCCAATCAACGTCTGGACAGTTGAAATCACCCATTAAGCAAAATCGCTCGAGATCAATTTCAGAGAATGTCACACTGATATGCTCTAAAAATTTTGGTAGAATAGTAGCGATTACATCCGGCGCTCCATAAAACACGCCCACAATGACGTTTACATCTTTAATTTCAACAGCAATGAATTCATAATCTTTACTTTCGAGATCAAACCGCCGCTTCCCTGTCGAAGTCTTTCTTAATAAAACAGCGACACCGCCACATTTTTTCCCGACCCTTGCGCGGCGAAAAACCTTAAAAGATCTACCATCCCGAAACAGACTGTCTGGCATATCAGGTTTATCAAATGTTTCCGTTAGTCCTACAACGTCTTGATTTGCTGAAAAAAGTTTTACTTGTGCTGATTTCTTTTTAATACCATTAATATTACACAGCTTTACTGCTAGTTTTAACGAATTGCATTTTCTTTGTCGTTTTTTGTTGAGCTTCTTTGTCGTTTTAGATTTCATTTTCCGAGTTTAAAACATTTGCACCTGCGGACGCAGTTGGCTTCTGAAAGTATCTCCACAGCTTAACTGAGATATTGCTCGGCCAGATATCTGCGTTCAAGATCAGATTTTCACAGTCTGAGAATGTACCGACACGCGCAAATGTACTGCGGCGCAAATCTTTTTCCCCCCTTGCTCTTACATCCACAAACCGCACCCGTATGTTCCTGCTTTCCAGAAATGATTTTAGTGAATCCACAGTACAGTCTCTGGGTAAACCACGTATACAGTAGTCTCTGTGTGGAACTGTATTTAGAATCAAAGCTTTAGCAAGTGGGTCATCGCTGTTGTTACTGCCCGAGCCTCTTACGGTATTTGACCATTGTTTCTTCGAATTTTCCGATTTATTCGATACGCTCACCTTTGGCTCATTCCGGACGTTGGCGTTCCAAAATTCGCGTCCACTATGAGTCGCATCTGCATAGCTCCGCTTCGTGT